TTCTTAAAACTGGTATTTTAATAATTTCAGAAAAAACAATACAGACAATAATTTTAATAATGTTAGGCATTTATTAACATCATCTAAGTTCAGAATCAGTTTGAAAAATCAGAAAAATGAGTATGCTATCAAAGCATTGGATTTTCTGTAATTGTATTTATATGACCTCAAATATTTATGCATATGGTCAGAATTTTAGTATTTAGATATAGACATAATCAAAATGCTATACTCTTAAATATGGAAATCAATTTTAAATATAAGCCTTTATTTTATCCACAAAGCAAATTCTCCACCCAGAGCAAAACCTTTCACAACTTAGTCATTTTTAAAAAGCTATCATGCAGTGAGCCACAGCTGCTGGATAGCAGGGTGCACACTACTGCAAAGCCCCATGAGGAGGAGAAGTGGGCTAGCACAGCCCATTGGACGGCATGTTTTGTAAAAGGGTGCTGCGCTGTGGCTCCTGTGGGTGCTTCTACGAGGAGACCCTGTTCCACAGGGACAGAGAGTGGATAAAGTCCTCAGATGGTGGACTGAAGGTGCAGCAAGTAGAGCTGGCAAGTTTCCATGAATTTGCTAATCTGTGCTTTTTTCAAACTGCGTATGTTTTTAATGAAATAAGCTAGAAATACTATGAGGAATAAGGATAAGACCCATGTTTGCTGATGTCTCAGTGAACACATTTGCAAAAACCTGCCATGTCAGAAGCTCATCCGCCGCGTCAGGTCGGCAGGGCTTTTGTTTGTAAGGCAAAGCAGTAGGCACTTCCAGTTTTCTGGGCCAGGTGACCGTGGCCATGGCTATTCCCCTCTGCTGCTGTGACACATGATGGACACAGAGAGCAGGCCGGTGGTGACAATGGCTGTGCTGGGGCGATCCTGCCACATGCATGGGCACATGTCCCAGCGGTCAGAGGACAGCGGCGAGGAGCCATGCTTGCGATGGCAACAGCAGGGAGGACAAGTCTGTACACACAGGTGCGCTGCAGTCACCTCTGTGGGTTGCCTGCCGCCCCAGCACACACCTTCATGCAGGAATAATTGGGTAATCATGGAAGGCTAAGCTGCAGCCCGGAATCCACACAGTGGTCACTCGAGGAACTGTCATGACTTCTTTTGATTTTTGTTGCTTAGTAAATCATTGACTTTTACTGTTGTTTTAAATCTTATTTATTCTTATTTTGTACAGAGTCTTACTACACTGTTTGGACTCTTAGTGATCCTCCTGTCTGAGCCTCCCTAGCGCTGGGATTGCAGGCATGTGCCGCCATGCCTGCTTCCAGTGGCCAGCATGGTACGCCCGGGATTCCAGGGTTGGCACAGCGTGTATGTAGTACCTGGGATCGACTCTGGGTGCTTGTGCTTGCCAGCAGGAGCTTAGCCTGCTGTGCTCTCTCCCCAGCTCACTGGTTTTTTATTGTTATTAATGGCATTTGCATCTCAAAAGATACGATAGTAATTTCGAACCATTTTCTGTAACTGGCCATGATTCCAAATAGCTAGAGAACCCACACAACATGAGCTGTTTCAAAGGATCAGTCTCCACAAGAAGGACCAAGCCCTGCGGTGCACATCAGCAGCGAACTACCTTCTGGAAATCCTTGATAGTAACCAGACTGAAGGAGAAGATGTGGTCCTTCGCCCCGACGTACAGCCGGCCTCGCTCCTCGTCCAGCAGGAGCGTGTCGTAGCTCGAGCTGTTCGCCAAGCCGTGGAACGAGATCACGCTGCTGGACTGCAGCATCTCTGCAAGACAAGAAAGCAGATGCAGGCACTAGTGCGCGGCCAAGTGGGCTCGGCCCCGGAGAGCTGACTCCAGCCCGTGCCCTCCCGCAGCGCCTTCCGAGGGGCGCGCAGGCACTGCCCGGAACTGGAACAAGCTCTGGGGTTGGCGGACTGCACACGGGAGAAGCCGCACTCCTGCAGGACAGGGGAGAGGTAAGTTGACCACACAGGCTTGTCGGGGGGCTGCTGCACGCCCAGTGACAGATCTGAGGGGCTGCTGCTGATGCAAGCTTCTCTGCCTCTGAGCACTGCTGAAATGGTGTCATTTGCTCTGAGCCACTCGGGGGAAGGGTGAAGCCCGGCTAGGAGAGCCGGCAGTGTGAGGCAGCCTCGGGGTTGCCGAGGGGCTCTCACTCCTGATAGCTTCCCTGGTCCTCAGCTCCTCTGCAGAGACCTGCGGAGGATCTTGGGGCTGACGCACTCAGAAAGGCTGATGTGAGGCTTTGAAGCCATGTTTTATCTTATTGTATTATTTTATTTTTTCCATAATTTTATTGAGAGGCAAGTAGCAATGAGATAGTTTCAAATCAAATTGGTAGGACAGTTTCAATAATTAACACATTGCATACTCTCTTCCTAGTGGTTATTTGCTGTACAAGATGCAGACGTGATATCCTATTTGTAAACACTCTTACAACAAATCCTTCTATTCATTAAGAGAATGTAACTATATATCCATCCTAACCATTTTGAATACACTGATACAAAGGGGA